GAACTGCATATCTAGACCCTGTCTCAAAAAGACAGAAAAAAAAAAAAAAGAGAAATGAATATCAATCCCTGTTTTAGTCTAGGACTTTCTGGGCTTCATTTTGTATTCAATATGGTTATTATTTTGATAGGCTTTTCAATCATCAAATTATTTTTTTGTATTTGTGTTTGTTTTCTTGAGACTCACTGTGTAGCCCAGGCTGGGGCTGAACTCCTAATCCTCCTGTCTCAGCCTCCTGACAGCTGAGATTACAAGTATACACCACCACACTTGTCCCATGGATATTAATAGGTAGTTTTCAGGAATGAAATATATGTGTGTGGCTAGTACATCTGTTGAAAAAAAGCTCAACTTCTCTCAAGAATGTAAATCAAAATAAAGAGATAGCGGTTGTTACCTGTCATCTGGGAAAACAAACCTTTTGACAGTATTCTGTTCTGGAAATGCTACAAGGAACTAGGAGGTATCATGCTCTGTTGGTTACAGTATAAGTGAGTGCATACTTTGACAAAGGTCATTGACTGTTTTCTTGTCTGTTTTTTATTGAGACAGAGTCTTACTATGTAGTCCAGGTTGACTTTGAACTTGCTATGTAGCCCAGGCTGGGCTTGAACTCTTGGGGATCGTCCTGCCTCAGCCTCCCAAGTTCTGGGATTACAGGCATACACCACCACACCCAGCTCCCATCAACTGTTTTAAAATACATGTGAATTAGCTGGGAACAGTGGCACACACCTGTAATCCCAGCGCTTGGGAAGCTGAGGCAGGAGGATCAAAGTTCAAGCCCAGCCTAGGCAATTTAGCAACTTAGTGAGACCCTGCCTCAAAATTAAAAAATAAAAAAGTGTTGAGGATGTACTCAGTGGGAAGGCCCTGGCTTCAACCCCAGTTGTTGTAATTATTTTCTTGCTGCTGGAAAAAAAAAAAAAAAAAGCTGACACCCAAAAGTTAAAGGAGGAAAGGATTTTTTTAGCTCAGAGTTTATAGAGGTTTCAGTCCATATAGTCTGGTGTCTCCAAGGCAGAGTGGTGTGGCAGAGGTGCCTGGTGGAGGAGAAACAGTTCATGGCATGGTGGCAGCAACCAGAGAGAGATCAAGGGAGGAGAGAAGAGGACACACTTCCACTAACCCACCTCCTTCAACTGGGCTGCATCTCCCAGCGGCACATTTAGTCATAAATCTATCAGGGAACTAACCCCCCGATGAGTATCACACACCCATGACCCACTCACCTCCCCAAGACCCCATCTATGAGCGCATGAAGCTTTGGGGGGGGGGAATCTAGATATGAACCCTAACACCAGTACCACAAAGGTAGGGGTGCTCTTTGCCCCAGCAAGTTTACTGCTAAGAATTTGCCCTGTGAATATATTTGCAAAAGTATGCCAGATAGCAGGTGTGGTGGCACACGCCTGTAATCCCAGCACTCGGGAGGCTGAAGCAGGAGGATCCTTGTGAGTTCGAGGCCAGCCTGGGCTACAAAGTGAGCTCAAGGCCAGCCTGAACTACATAGCGAGACCCTGTTTCAAAAAAGTCTGACTTCTGGGATTTCAGGCATGAGCCACCATGCCCAGTTTCAGAGTTCACCCCACCCCTCTTTTTGAGACAGGGTCTCTCACTATGTAGTGCAGGTTGGCCTCAAAGTTACTATGTAGCCAGGGTGGTTTTGAATTCGCAGCAATCCTGCCTCAGCCGCCTGAGTGCAGGGGTTACAGGCATGTGCCACCACATGTAACTGAAATCCTAATATTTTTAAACCAAGAAAAGGGGGCTTACTGTAAAGACGCCGAGGGACCTCATTTAACCAAAGGAACTGTTGGGCATCCAGGCTTTCGGAGGAGACAAGTGTGACCGGCCGTAGGAATTTCTGGGATGAGAGGCCGGAGGGCTGAAGCCCCTTCCTGTCTCTACTTGTCTCTGTGCATCAGCCGCATTCTCTGTCGCTGCACAGAAGAGACGAGGAACACACACGGCTGCCAGTGCGTCTGCATTCCGTATCTGCGGCAGCAGAGAGACTGCTCTCCTGAGCTCCTGTTTCGGGAAATTTCAGGGAAGGACTTGCCTTGGCCTGGCTCGGGTCAGGTGTCCGCCCAGAACCAATGGACTCCGGCCAGGGAGTGAGGTCTCTAAGTGGCTGGTAGTCCTGTGGGGGCGCACGGCCAAAGAAGGATTCTCAGTAGGGAGCTAAAGCACTCGTTCCCGCATTTATTCTCAGGGGCATGTGTTCAGTAATGACCGTCAAGCGTTGCTAGTGTGCCGCGTTCTGCACTAAGTGACTCGAACACAGTCAGCCAGAAAGCTCTCGGCCTCAGCCGGGGCTGCCCTGAGGGAGGGAGGCAGCCTGGCTGTTAGCGCCTACTGGATACTCCCTGTCTCGGCTCAGCTAAACCTTTCTCTGGTCACAAGAAAGGCCGGCTGTTTGTGTTGATCGCAGAGGGGACCCCTGTCAGAGCAGCGTGGGCTGTCCTCACCACGAGCGCCAGGATGACTAAGAAACAGCAGCTTGGCATCCGTGCCCCTGGCGGCAGCGGCAGCTGTTTCAAGCTGCTGGCCGGGAGTCATGGTGAAGGGAGCGGCTTCCTGTTGAGCTGAGCTCTCTGGGTCTAGCTTTCAACTGCTAACCTCAGTCCTGTTTTCTGTGTCTGATATTCTCACCTCGCATTGCTTCCTTCTGCTGCATATACTTTCAAGGGAATTTTTATTTTATTTATTTATTTTAAAAACTTTATTTAAAAAAATTTTTTTGGAGGCAGGGTCTTTTTGTTTTTTTTTGCTTTTTTTAATCTTTTGTCTTTTTGAGACAGTGTCTCACTGTGCAGTTCAGGCTGGCCTTGAGCTCACTTTGTAGCTCAGGCTGGTCTTGAACTTGCAACGATTCTCCTGCCTCAGCCTCCCGAGTGCTGGGATTACAGGGGTGCACCACCACTTCCAGTTTCAGTGGAATTTTTTTCTTTCTTTTTTTTTTTTTTTTTGTCTTTTTGAGACAGGGTCTTGCTATGGAGTTCAGGCTGGACTTGAGCTCACTTTGTAGCCCAGGCTGGCCTCAAACTCGCAACAATACTCCTGCCTCAGCTTCCTGAGTGCTGGAATTACAGGCATGAACTACCACACCCAGCAGAACCTTCATGAAATGACTTCTCAGAGCTGTCTTCCAGGTGTAGCTGGCTTTTGGGTTTTGAGTCTGGTTCAAGATCCTATCTCTTCAATTTACTGGGGATGAGAAGCTGCTGCCTATTTGGACCAGTCCCTGATTCTCTGGCACTGGCCTATAGGATTGTTTATGACCCATAGGTAATCTCAGTCTTGGCATACCAGGAAGAACAATTGATTAGAACAATTATGTCATGTGGGGTAAAGTAGTATAGCAATAACAATAGTATCAAACACAGCCTAGAAAGTGACAAACTGTGGTAACTATTTATTTGTCACCTTTGACCGTATGAACTAGATTTGAGATCATACAACAAAATCTAAAATAAACCAGATATTGTATACAGTAAATATACCCTCAACATGGTAATTTTACCCTTAGGAGAGAAAGTTTAAAAATGGTTGGGGGAAAAATAGAGAAATAGAAGAGGAAGAGATTAGAAGCAAGGCTGGAGGACAAAGGAAGATTACGAAAACTTTGGGAAACTGATAAAGACTGGCAGAAAAGAGAGAAGGAAGAAATAAAAACAAGAACAGAACAACAACAAAAAACTAGATACTATGTTCACACTCAGGGAAAACAAGAACACACAATCAAGAAAAAAGAAAAGACAAAAACAAAAAGAGAGAAAAAAAGAAAATAAGAAAAAAATGTTCATCTCAAGGCATGTCTCTGCTGTCTCTGCTAGACAAAGCAGATGGACGGAGTCCAGATCCCTGTTGATCAATCCCAGCAGGCCAGTTGTAGATTTACATTGTGGTGGTGGATAATCCCAGCAAGCCTGCACCTTTAGCTCCACAGAAGTTTAGGCTGGTTTCTGGCTGTGAGGCTGGAACCCAGTTTGTTCAGCTTGCAACACTCTGTGTGCCTCCTGCTGGCTTGAACTCAGCTCCTTGACCTCCTTCCAATTTGAATTCAGTTCTGCCTTAGCCTGACTTTGGGAGCCCCTGGATGGAGCCGGCCCACAGCTTCTCTGAGTTCTGAGCTCAGCTGGTCCCTGGCCAAGATGGCTACCAGGCTGTTGTCCTCTCCTGGGAGGAATCTGAACCTGAATAACTCAATAGCCACTGGAGTCCACTGTGTCCGCTGCTGTGTTCCCCTGGTGTGTTTCTCTGGGGAGGCTTCTGGGGTCACCAGTAGTCACCGTGTGTCTGCAGGTTTGACTGCCTCTCCCCCACGGTGAGTCAGGGCTTAGGGAGAAAGTGCCACTTGCCACCTCCTTCTTCTTTGTTGAAGACACTTTCTTTGCTGTCCTCATGGGTTTTAATTCTCGCTTCAGATCCTTGCTGGGTCCTGGGACCCACTTCCCTCCTCCTTCTGTTCTTCACATTGCTATATTTCAGAATCTGGACACCAAATCTTTTTTTTTGTAACAGGGTTTCACTATGAAGTTCAGGCTGCCTTGAACTCACTTTGTAACCCTAGCTGGCCTCAAACTTGCAAAGATCCTCCTGCCTCAGCCTCCTTGTAAATGCTGAGATTACAGGTGTGCATCACCACACCCGGCCTGCATCTCTAGTCTTTATGGTAACAGAAGCAAAAGACAATGGCAATTGATGGGTTGGTATAAGGAAATGAGATGTAAGGGATTAAAGAAGTGCTTATTCTAGCTCGGCATGGTGGCACACACCTGTAATCCCAGCACTTGGGAGGCTGAGGCAGGAGGAACACTGTGAGTTCAAGGTCAGCCTAAACTGCATAGCAAGACCCCGTCTAAAAAAAAGAAAAGCAAACAAAACAAAACAAAAAACAGGGCTCAGTATAAATGCCCTGGGTTTGATTCTCAGTATGCGGTGGGGTGAGGGAGTTTTTATTCCAGCCGTTCCTGAGGAATACCTGGACAGCTTTTTTAAAACATGGATTCATAGTGCCCCATCTCTCCCAACTTCCTAAAGCAGATTTCTTTGCCAGGTGACCGATGAGAGTGGTTCAAGACTTTAAGCAACAATAAGAGGATCAATTACGGTGTATGCCCTTTGGACTGCTGGTTCGGGAGGACGGTACTACCACCAATGGCCACAAGGTGGCAGCAGGGAATGGAAGGAGAAATAAGCCCGGCAAGTGTCAGACCCAGACTGGTAGGGGTGGGCAGACCCTGGAGGGAATCAGATTATGGAAGGAAGTGGGGGACCTGCACTGCACAGCATGGCCTTACTTGCCAGCTGGAGTCTGTTACTCCTCTGTGAGCGCCGTTTTCATGATCAGGTGTATGGAGACTCCTTTTTACCAAACTCTGCGGATAGGAACTGCATCAGTGTGGCCGCGGGCAGCTGTGGGTGGCAACGGCGACAGCGTATGCTCCACACGGGTGGGTATGGGAGGCAAGGGGTGCTCAGCCCCCAGATGTGTTCATCAAGCAGAGTCACCTACAAAGTGCTGCTTACTCAGAGGGCACCACCAGCGCGTGCCGACAGCATATCCCTTCCCCCGCTGCAGGTGAGGGTCTCCAGGTGCCGCTGGACGCCTGCTCCTCTTAGGAGAGATGGATCTGCAGCTGGGGAGCTGGCTGAAGCCTGGGCAAAGGATGCTGGGATGGGGTGTGGGCGAGGAGCCCAGGATGGGGCAGCTGCCTCTGGAAGCAGCCAAAATGTCCCCGGCTATAGCAGGGGTGGATAGAAGGATTAGGTGACAGTCCCCTAACCCAGCCCGGAACTAACACCCTCCTCCCCCTCACACAGGCACCCAAGCCTGCCAAAGCTCAGAATAACCCAGAGAAGCAGACAGCAGCATGACAGGGACTCTGCTCGGTGCCCTGCTCCTCTTGGGGCTCCTTGGTAGGAACAGGGTCGGGGAGGCAAGTGGACAGACAGACACCAACATGAAGGGACAAGGACAGAGACTGAGACAAGACAGACTGAGGCACTACATATTTGGTCCTGAGGCATAATGTCGCTGGCTCAGGGAGACACACACAGAAAGACACACAGCTCCAGGGACCTACGAAGACCCTGAGGGGCAGACCCTGGACCTACTGCCTCCTCCGGCCCAGTGACTTCTTTCCTGACCCCATCGCAGGCAGAGATGAGGGGAAGAATGAGGAGCTGAGTCTTTATCACCATCTCTTCAACAACTATGACCCAGAATGCCGGCCAGTGAGGGGGCCTGAGGACACTGTCACCGTCAGCCTCAAGGTCACCCTGACCAACCTCATTTCACTGGTAAGATGCCCCAGCCCCATGCAGAGCCTCAAATCCCACTTCCGGCCCCCACCTGGGGAGCTCTCCGCTAATGCTCACTTCTGGCCCTGAAGTCGGGCTTTAACCACCTCAATCTCTGCTGCAGAACGAGAAGGAGGAGACCCTCACTACTAACGTATGGATTGGAATCGTGAGTCAGATCTGGGGAGCAATGTGAGATTTACCCTTTCTTCCAAATGCCTCTTGGGCAGCACCAGGTGGGAAATGAACAGGAAGGGTCCTTCCTTCTTTCCTTCTTAGGACTGGCAAGATTACCGACTCAACTTCAGCAAGGACGACTTTGGGGGCTTAGAAACCCTGCGGGTCCCTTCGGACCGTGTATGGCTACCAGAAATTGTACTGGAAAACAAGTAAGGACCATCAGTCCAGATGCCAGGCTGCTGGGCAGCTGGCCCAGGGGATGTGTGTGTGTGTGTGTGTGTGTGTGTGTGTGTCGGGCCAGGGTGTGTGTCAGGGACGGGGTGTGTGTGTGTCTGGGGACAGGGTGTGTGTCTGGGGACGGGGTGTGTGTGTGTCTGGGGACAGGGTGTGTGTCTGGGGACGGGGTGTGTGTCTGGGGACGGGGTGTGTGCGTGTGTGTGTGCGTGTTTGTGTGTGTCTGGGCTAGATTTGCTTGGGGCAGAGAGTGCTTGGATGCAAGTTCACCGGACCTGTGAAATAGCTCAGTTTTCTTGGGCCCGCAGCATTGATGGCCAGTTCGGCGTGGCCTACGATGCCAATGTGCTGATCTACCCAGGTGGCTATGTGACCTGGTTGCCTCCAGCCATCTACCGCAGCACCTGCGCCATGGAAGTCACCTACTTCCCCTTTGACTGGCAGAACTGCTCCCTCATTTTCCGGTGGGAGGAGTCATTCAATACACCCCCCCCATCATGGGAGGGGCCTGTGCAGGGGACTGGCCAGATAGAGGCAAGGGATCTCTGGGGTGGGGCTTTGTCTGGAGGCTGAGCCAGGTTGTGGGATGCGGTGGATCACTGCAGCTGGTTTTAAAGAATGGCTAGAACCAGCCTTACCAGCTACTGGGAGATGCAGTCAGAATGATCACTTGGGCCCAAGAGCTGCAGACCAGCCTGGACAATATAGTCAGACCCTGTCTCAAAAAACAAACGGGAAGGGTGGGGATGTAACTCAGTGGTAGAGTCAGTTTAATCCCCAGTGTTGTAAAAAAACAAAACACAGCCGGGTTTGGTGGCACACACCTGTAATCCCAGCATTCAGGAAGCTGTGGCAGGAGGATCACTTCGAGTTTGAGTTTGAGACTAATCTGGGCTACAAAGTGAGCTCAAGGCCAGCCTGAACTGCACAATGAGACCCTGTCTCAAAAACAAACAAGAAAGGGGCTGGGGATTTAGCTCAGTGGCAAAGCGCCTGCCTGGCAAGTGCAAGGTCGTGAGTTCGGTTCCTGGTACCGGAGAAAAACCAAAAAAAAAAAAAAAAAACCCCAAAAAACAAACAAGAAACCAAAAAAACACAAAGTAGGAATGGAAATAAAGGTGTGCAGATAGGGCCAGGATAAAGGGATGGAGCCTTATTACCAGGTTCAAACTTCTGGGGTGGGGGTCCTGGTCCTGGTTTTGCAGCTCTCAGACTTACAGTGCCAAAGAAGTGGAGTTTGTCTTTGCCGTGGATGACAATGGGGACGCCATCAACAAGATCGAAATCGACACCGAAGCCTTTACTGGTAAAAACTCCCTCTTGCTCTAAAAAGCCAGCTTCCAGAAGGGTTCCAAAACAGGGACTTTCAGAGTGAGGTTGCCCCAGATTTCTCTCTCTCTCTCTCTCTCTCTCTCTCTCTCACACACACACACACACACACACACACACACACACACACACACACACACACACACGGGAACTGTCAGCAACCCAGCTGAACTTGCCTGCCTTTGGAAATCGTTCCCAGTTGTCACTAGTCCTGTCTCCTGGCTTAGGAGCTTTCTAACGTCCTCACCGGGAACGTCCTTTCTACCTGAACTTCCCCCAGCCTGCCAGCCTGCCAGCCCAAGCTGCCCAGGCCAGCCCAGACGGCTGCGGCCTCCTCCTTGGCGAGGAGTTACAGGTTTCGGTGGTGGACAGAGTGCAGCGTGAGCAAGCTGAGTGTGCCTCCTGTCCTGCAGAGAATGGTGAGTGGGCCATCGACTTTTGCCCCGGGGTGATCCACTACCACGACGGTGGCTCTGCTGACCACCCGGGAGAAACTGACGTCATCTACACGCTCATCATCCGCCGGAAGCCGCTGTTCTACGTGATCAACATCATCGTGCCTTGTGTGCTCATTTCCGGCCTGGTGGTGCTGGCCTACTTCCTGCCGGCACAGGGTAAGGGGTGACCCTACCTCTACACTCGGCCTTGCTCCCTGGGTCAGGGGCCGCTCTCACCGAGTGCTCTCTCTAGCTGGCGGCCAGAAATGCACCGTCTCTATCAACGTCCTGCTGGCCCAGACTGTCTTCTTGTTCCTAATTGCTCAGAAAATCCCAGAGACATCTCTGAGTGTGCCGCTGCTGGGCAAGTGAGGACAGAGTGGGTCTCGAGGTTACCCACGTGGGGACGGGGCCAGATGAGCATGGGGCGGGAATATGGAGTGGCCCGGGAGGGGCGCAGCCAAAACCGAGAGAGTGGAGCAGAAACTTTAGCTATTTCCACCCCTCGTGGACTTTATTTAGACATGGGGTGGAGCTAGGGTGGTGATGGGTGCTCTGGTCCGGTGTCCTCCTTATTGCTGCTGGACACCACGTTGAGGTCTCCTGAGTGTCTCTGTGGGGGCACAGTCCGGCTCAGTGTCTCCCCAGCCCCATGTCTGGCCCCCGGCAGACACAGCGCCCACCCCAAACTCACTGGCTCCCCGGGGACTCCAAGGCCCAGCGGGCATCGGCAGCGTTGCAGGAACGACGTGGACCCCTGCAGGCCGCGTCCGCACAAGCACAGCCACACCCCCTGCACCAGGAGCCGCGCGCTCCAGCCTGCGGCAGCCCCCGCTCGCAGAGCCCCATGCCGGGCCGCCTGAGCTACCCGGGCCAGTGCTCCGCCCGGGTCTCCGGCACCTGCCCCTGGGCCTGGGCTGCCGTCTCTGCCGTCCAGTCCTCCCGCTTCCTGCTGTAGCCAAAGGGCTGATATCTGCATTGGGAGTGCAGGGGCGAGTGAGGGTGCGAGGTTCCTTTCTCCGGATGGCGCAGCCCTCTTCCCTGGCCCCTTCCTCCCCACATTCTCACCCCTCCCCAGCCCCACACCTCTAACAAGGTGGCGCTGAAGCTCACGAGGCCGGCTGCGGCTTCTCTGAGCACCAGCCCCAGGGTGGGCTCCTCGGGATCCCGCAGCTCCAGGGACTTCAGCTCTCTGAACCTCTGCTCCAGATACTCGTGGGCGGCGGCCGCGGCGAGCTCCAGGGAAGACAGAATCGGGGGCTGCAGCGCCACCTGCAGAAGGCGCAGGGGCAGCGGAGTTGCGGGGTGGCAGGGCAGGGGCACGCGGGAGGGGCCGCCCCAGAGGTTCTCCGGGTGCTGCCCGTCGAGCAGCCTCACCTCGGTGGAGCTGTGATAGTGGTAGACCCACAGCAGGGTGTCCAGGGAGCTGGGGGTCCCCTTCATGGCCGCCGCAGGTGGTAGGAGGGGCAGAAGGGTCGGCAGCGGCTGGCCGTGCCGCAGGCTGGCGGCGGGGGGCGTAACTGCACCCGCCGGCGGAGAGGGGTTTGTGAGGTCAGAGGACCAGCTGGGGGGAGCGGGGAGCTGGTGACGCCAGCTGGGCCGCGGCGAAGTGGCGCACCCGGGCTCCCCAGGTACCTCATCTTCGTCATGGTGGTCGCCACCCTCATCGTCATGAACTGCGTCATTGTGCTCAACGTGTCTCTGCGGACGCCCACCACGCACGCCGCGTCCCCGCGACTGCGCCACGTAAGGCCGGGCCGGGGGCGGCCCGGGGCTGCGGTCCGGGACCCCGGGGTGGGGCAGAGCTGAGAGTCCGTCCCCACCCTCGGGCCCAGGTTTTGCTGGAGCTGCTGCCGCGCCTCCTGGGCTCCGCACCGCCCCCAGAGGCTGCCCAAGCCGCGTCGCCGCCGCGGCGGGCGTCCTCCGTGGGCATCCTGCTGCGAGCAGAGGAGCTGATTCTGAGAAAGCCGCGGAGCGAGCTGGTGTTTGAAGGGCAGAGGCACCGGCACGGGGCCTGGACGGGTGAGCACACTGGCCTCGGCAGGCCGACGGGGCGCCCGCGGTGGGGGACGCTCTGAACGACGCAGCCCGCTGTCGCCCCCACCAGCTGCCCTCTGCCAGAGCCTGAGCGCCGCGGCGCCGGAGATCCGCTGCTGTGTGGATGCTGTGAACTTCGTGGCGGAGAGCACGCGAGACCAGGAGACAGTCGGCGAGGTGGGTCAGGAGACAGAGAGGGCTCTGCGGAGCGCCCACAGCCACCCCAGCCCTGCGCCCCTGCCTGCGGGGCTCAGCTTGTGCTGTCCTTTTTCCAGGAGGTGTCCGACTGGGTGCGCATGGGGAAGGCCCTGGACAACGTCTGTTTCTGGGCCGCGCTGGTGCTCTTCAGCGTAGGCTCCAGCCTCATCTTCCTTGGGGGCTACCTCAACCAAGTGCCCGATCTCCCCTACCCACCATGTATCCAGCCTTAGACCTGTGCCTGCACACACTTCAACTTTCCTGCCCACTTTAGCAGGAAATAGATTCTGAAAGACAAGCTGCTGTCAATAATCATCTTTTCCCACTGCTGACAATAAATATTTCATGAACTTCCCAGTACGAATTGAATGTGCGCACGTGGGTAGGCTTGACTCCTGCACTGGGGTCAGAAGTGGAGGGCCGATGGACTCAGACCCTTGGTACCAATCCTCCAGAGAGCAAGGCTTCACAGCTAATCTCCCTCAGTGCTCCTTTTGGCCTGAGTTTTTTTGAGACAGGGTCTCACTATGTACCTCATGCTTGCCTTGAACTCTCCTAAGATCGTCCTGCTTCAGCTTCTGGAGTGCTGGGATTATAGATGTGCATCACCGCACCTTATTAGGGCAATGAGCTTCTGGACAATTTTATCCAGCTGTTATCAACTGTGAGATCCTTTTGCAGGGTTTGTACTCAGAGAAATCTTCTGCTTCTCTGGCCTGGCTCTTCTGTGTAGGCAGGAACCACATACCCTTGGTGAAACCCAGACAGGTTTAGGGCTGAGGATGCCTGGCCCTTCCTCAGGCAAAGTCTTCTGGGTTTTCTCGGCCCAGCACCATGGACCTCAGTCCACCCCCACAAGACTCTGATCAGACTGCATATCCCCGCCTCCCCCACCCCTGGAACTCTGCAGGCCCCCTGGCTCGCAGCCAGGGTCGAGAGAGAAAACAATAATCTAGGGCCTGAAATGGTGGGAGCTGGTTGAACTGTCTTTATTAACAAACGGGGTATCCAAGGCCACTACATTGAGGAGGGGCAGGGAGGGGAGAGAAGGGCTACTTGCTGCTCACACTATGTACAGATGCAAGCAAAGAGATGTGGAGGGCAGGAGCTCCCTGCTCCTGGCTCCACCAGGGAAGGGGAGAGGCCAGAAGAGACAGGGACTGGAAAGGGGGGAATGTTTTGGTTGGTGGGGGGTACCCCCTCCATTCCCTGGGGTTTGAAGAGAAAATCATTAAAGTGCTTTCAGAAAATGAGGAAATGGCCCCTGCCCCTGGAGTGGCTGGTGACCCCCCCAGAACTTAGGGCCCAGTGACCCCCCCCAGAGTCTGGTACATTCAAGGGGGGAGCCGGCTCCCCTGACGTGCAAATAAAGGGGTCCAGGGCCCCGCCCAGTCAGCAGCAGTGGGGTAAGGGGTCTAAGCCCCAAGCACTCCCCGAAGTGGAGAAAGGGGCAGGGGGGCCCACTCTACTCCTGGTAAGAGCCGTGTCCCTCCCCAGAAGTCGGGGACAGGCACAGTTTAAGGGAGAGGACTTGTTGGGGAAAAGGACGGGTCACATGATCACAAAAGCAAGGGGGGGGGTCAGAGGTCACGTTCCCAGCAGGCTCCAGTGAATCAAACCAATAAAAGCAAAAGCCCAGGGAAGAGAATGGGGGCAGCTGGGGAAGTCTGGCTGGAGGAGCTGGTCCCGTGTGGGTGGCCCCGCCTAGCCATCACCAGTTCATAATGCAGTTCCGGTTCAGGGTCATGAAGTAAACTTGGCTGCTGCCCCCAGAGCGGACGGAGGCAAAGAACACCTAGGTGGGAAGGAGAAGAAGTCACCAAGGGCTGGGGTACGGGCTGAGGGCGCAATGAACTGGGAGAGACAAAGGGAAAGAGAAGAGCCAGGGGTGTGGCTCATTAGTATGGCGCTTGTCTAGAATGTGGAGGCCCTGAGGGACCACCACCAAAAGAGGGGCACGGAGAGACTGCAGAATGGGCTCAGGGTGCCTCTGCTACCCCAGGGAAAGACAGAGCTGCACTACCAGATCTCTGGGGTGGCGGCCGCTCAGAGCCAAAGGACAGGGACGACAGTGGCTGTGAGTACACACTCTGCTTCCAAGGGGCCCGATCTCAGGAAGACACCACAACCGTCCTCTCCCCAGCTCCCCGCCCACGGCCCAGGGTCTGGGAACCAGCCTTGCACTGGGGCTTGGGAAAGTGCCTCCCACCTTATCATTCCGCTCACACAGGAACTTGAGCCTTTGGGCCCGTTTGTGCATGAAGACCCCATCTAGGTGTCCTGTCTCCACAGAGCGGATCTCAATGGCTTTCTCACCCCAGCCCATGATCTGGTTGGAGCAGATGTAGGCTGCAGGGGGATGGTGGGAGAAAGGAGTGAGCGAAGGGCTGCACTCGGGGGCCACTCAGGGGCGAGCCGCTTGGAGGGCAGCCCTTCACTCACCCACGGAGGTGGGCATCTCTCCCCACTGCAGCACCACATCCTTAATGATCCGCCCGTAGGTGTTGACATAGACGCCCTCGTCCTCATAGCACAGCAGCATCTCCATGCCATCCGTATTGGGGAGGAAGATGATGGCGTGGGGCGTGATCTGGCTCTGGATCTGGGGAGCAGAGGGTGCGCTTGTACCCTGCATCTGGACTCTAGACTGCGAGGCCCCATTCTCCCGGCAGCCCTGCCAAGCTCACGTGCACAGGGATGTAGATGTCATAGCTGTTTCCCGAGTCAACATCCACAGCGTGGAAGCCGGCACTGGAGCCATAGATGACCTTAAGCCGCTGTCCCTCCTCTACTGTCAGGTCGACCAGCAGAGGACGGTGAGGGAGGTCAGCAAAAGACTGTGGAGGGCAGAAGAGCTCAGAGGGGCCGGGTGGAGGAGCCAGACCTCAAAACATTACTGGGGAAAAAACAGTATTGGGGGGCTGGGGCTGGGATTGATTACCTTGAAGGCCATGAATTTGTGGTAGGGCTTGGGGGCCCAGGCATACACCTCCACAGAATTCTTCAGGGCAATGACAAGGAACTTAATGCGCTCGTATTTCACTGGGGGCAAGAAAAAAGAAAGACGCAGGGGCTCCTTCAGAGGCTCCCCAGGCCTCTCACTGCTGCCCCAGTCCCAGCCCCATCTCTGGCTCTGAAGCTTCCCTAGCATTTAACCCAAGCCCCGTTTCTCACAGGCCAGCCTGTGTGACATCCTTACCGACTCGGTAGTGTCCGCAGCCCTCCATGTCCCCCACAGTGGTCCAGCCCTGCTTCTTCTCCACCTCCGGGTCGTTGTGCAGGATCTTGTTCCGGAGCCAGGACAGGTAATACACCCGTAGTTTGTTCCTCTTCCCTGAGGGAGGGACACACATCCACACACATCCACACGCATCCACACGCGCATCCACACGCACACATGCTCCCGTCCTCATTGGAGGCCCAGCTGCTGCCTTTTACCATCCTGTCTGCATACCGCAAGGATAGAAAAATGTGGCCCCACCGTCCAGCTCCTAGACCAAGGCTGCCTTCCTCCCAGGCTGAAGATGGTGAAGGAGCTGAGGCCCCGGCACACACATACCTGAGATGGTGATGAGCAAGTTGAGCCCTTCCAGTACATCCATCTGCTGGAAGCGTCGCCGCCCGATGAGTCCATACACCTTGCCCTGCCCGCTCCGGTCCAGCAGCATCAGCCCGTTCTCGGTACCCACCAGCAGGTTGACCCCTTCAACAGGCACCCTTGCGCAGGTCAGACACAGAGCCAGGCCCTCACCTGAACAGCAGCATGGGGGATACACCAGGCCCCTCTCTGCTTTCCAGCCCAGCTTACCCCAAAGGGCTGCACAGAGGATCTCGGAATTGAATCGCTTCTTGTACTTCCGAATCTCAGGAGTTTCACTGTGAGCCCGGGTGTTGGTCGGATTCACGTTGACCACAGACCCTTTCCTCACATCATACTGCAGCTGATCGAGCCGAGTTCCCTCTCCACCCACGAGAGCTGCCAGGAGGAAGGCAAGGCAGGGTGGGCTGCAGCATCCTCACAAGTTGTTCTTTACCTCAGCGCCCCTACATCCGGTCTCGGAGCCTCAGCGTATTCAGGAGGGAATGGAAGGACCGTAGTACAGAGAAGGTGCACAGAAGAGAGGAGAGGGCCCAGCTTGAAGTCAAAAGACCTGGCTCAGTACCAGCCGAACTACTCGTCAATGTTAAACTTTTGCCCAAGCCCCTTGGCCACTCTGAACTTTTGCCTCCTCCATCAAGGGGGCTCAGAAACCCTCCCTTGCCTCTGTGCCAGGGCAGGAGCCAGGACCCAAGGGAGAAGGCCCACATCTATACTTGGTAAAATCCTCAGAGTCACCTGTGACGCCCTCCAGGCCTTGCCTGGACCTTAGCCTTGAGGCAGATCTGTCCTGTCCTTACCTGTGATGGGGATGGTATCCCCGCTGCCTCCAGGCTGGTAGATTCCTAGGTCCACAAACATGGTGAATGAGCTCTTGCCAGGGGCCTTTACCAGCCCACGAGACTGGTACTGTGGGAGAGGGGCAGCAGTCAGGCAAACAAGGGTGACCCCAGACTATGGCCAGCCCTCCCAAGCCCCTACTGAGAAGTTCATGGTGTCTGCCCCACTTACCGCAGTGCCCCCAACACCCCTGGCTCTCCTGTGCATTCCCAGGGTACTCCTCCCACCCCATGGACCTGCTCCAGCCCACTTACATCACTGCCTCCGTCCTTTGAGGGGGGACTTTGCCCTTTGCTGTTCTCTGTGGGGGAGTGACTGGGCTGGACCACATCTGGAAGGTTTGTGTAGCCATTGCTGTCAGCGTGCAACAGGCTTCGTTCCTCCTCAGGAGTCTGTGGAACAGAGGGCGAGGTCAGCACTGGGGCTGGGGGTTTGCTATGGCGTGGGGAAGGTGGTAGGTAGCTCACTTACACGCTGGACCACCATGGTGCCACCCCCATATGGGGGCTGTGTCCCAGGGATCTCCTCAACATCATGAACCACCATGGTGCTGACACTATCTGTGTCTCCATCGCTGCTGTGGGAGAGAGGAAGGTAGGGCCTTCTAGGTCCTGCCACCCAAGTGCCACAGGTGCAGGTGACAGCCAGACTTGGGCTTTCAGTTTCTGCAAAGCACACGTGCTCGGCCCTCACTGGGCACTCAGGTGTCCCCTGCATCACACTCGGGGCAGGGTGGCACCTGAGCTGACACAGAGGCAACCCCTAAGTGAAAGAAGAGTAGCACAGGCAGGAACCCCGTGCCCCCACTCCATTCCCTAGAGAATGGGGATCAGTCCCTCAGACAGGCCCCATTCTGACACCTCACCCCCTGTCCTCTGACACAGGATGCTCCATACCGGCCCCCAGGGGTGTCTCTGCT